GAATATTCATTCATAGATTGAAATGTGTTTAAAAAAACACATGATCGAATGTTAAATTAAATGAAAACAATATGATATAAAACGTACAGGTAAATTAATTGAATTCAACGATTCACTATTACTGATGAATTGCAGTGGCAGCTTGTCGGAAATTATTTTGGTTCGAAGGTAAAATAAGAATCAATTTATTTTGTCTTGTATTTTTAGCTGTTCGCCTGACAGGAGCTCCTAACTTTAGAATGAGGCAAAGTTATAAACTGCTATGACCATCCACACCGATAGCAAGTACACATATCTAATTATATAGGTGATAGGTAGAGGTACTTATGGTATATATACTTGCATTCTACAACTTTATGTTAACCCAGAAAACTATCCCGAAAATATCTGGCTTTGACTTCTCACTTTACGATTCACAAATTCACAAACCAAGCGACAACGTTATTGTTGCATTAGAATGGAATACTTTGCTCAAGACAAAAAATTTAAACAGCAATCGAAACTATCCTCTATCGACTTATTGCTGAATAATATATTTGAAGTTGAATGGAATCGTAATAATATATGATTCGCGGCAAAATACTTTCTATAAATATTTTTACTTGTATGCATGAAATACGTGTTCAATTACGGTGTTCATCATGTTGCTAATCTATCTATCCATTTTTCGCCACTGAAGATAGAAAGAGTGCGATAGATGTATCGGGTGATCGACTAAGTAAGGTATCACTAACCCCAGGAACCTTCCAACTTTGTCTGATAGTGCAGAGGAAAAAATCGTAGTTTACGTAAAGCTAACTTGATTAGAATCGAATTTTTCATTACTGTTATAAAGTATGCATCGAATCCTTTTCTGTTTTAGAATTTGATACACCGAAAGTGAGTTGGAGGTATACAATGAAGACTTGTGGTGTCTATCCAAAGTCACTTATTGGAGCGTTCGTCGATTGAACAATGAATTGATGTTCTTCATACATGACGTGAAATAAAAATTGAATTGAGAAAACCCAACCTGTGAATGTCTGTCAGCCCCACGTTCACTGAATGCAAACGAACTTCAGAAAAAGCGAAGCCACGTTGCCTAACCATGGTTTTTTCTAGAGGTGCTCAAACTGACTTTGGATCGACTATACTCTGGCATTAGTAGTGAAAGGGCCTGGAAGTTACTCCCACAACAAAATGTAGACTTTATATTCGATGGAAGTAGTAGGTCTTCTAGCAGAGTGAAGAAGATGAACCATAATAAGCCCTCAGCCATCCCTTTTGAAAATCAGCCTCTCATAAGGAACTGATTCCCGAATCGATGAAACTCAATTCAACTGAGGATCGTTCCTGTATATAAGTGTTATTCAGTTCCTGGGAGTTTAGTGCCCTCAGACTAATGAGGCCATGAGGGTTCAACTGATTTCCTGGCTGTAAGATATATCATTGTCGCAAAATCTAATGCTTGCAATTATCCGATGCAAAAACTCCTGAATTAGAGGCGACATTGGGAGTTATCGAGGACTTTCTCCTTTTATTCAGAACGATGGCATGATTGAGGGGGAAGGTTCATGGGGTTTGGATCTCCCCGCCCCCCCAGGAGCTGTCTGAAAAACCGAAACAATCTGTTAAACAATTCTAATAATGAAAAATTAGACATGAGTATAGGAAATACCACTACCTAAATATTTTCACAATGTATACCTTTTTGAGTTCTATATTATTTCAATTTCATTTTTCAGTGAGTAAAATGGATTAGTATCGAATTTTCAATTTTCGTTATATTTTTGTGATGTGTTTCTATCTCAATGTTCGCACATGTTGATATGTAATATTATTCGATTTAGTTTCCAATTCTTTTTCTTTATTTTGTTATTGTTACCAACTGATGCACACATTCATTAATACCAACGTGAGTAACGTATTGCTTCTCTTTTACCTAATTATTTGATAAACAGGGTGTCGCGAAACTACGTAGGGAGATTTCGATCAAAGATTTTAGGAATAGAAGTGTCAAAAAGTTAATATAAACTTGAGCCCAGAAATGACGTCCCGAAGGAATCCTTCAGATGGCTATCACTCCCCGAGCTCATGTTGGTATGAACTTTTTTTACTATTATTGTTCCTAAAATCGGTGGTTGAAATCTTTCCATGTACTTTCGGGACACCCTGTACATTAGATCTAGAACCTAGACCCCGTCAGGGATGAATCTCAATTACGCCAATGTTGTAGAATATATAGGTCTCGAGTATAACTGTTTCTGATGATATGCTGCATCCTCACGCAAAAATAGTCAACATTAATAGGTGGGATATATTAAGGATACATAATGCATGAAGCAGTGTGTACGTAGGTAGAGAAAAACTGTTCAATAATATTTCTCTGATAAATGGTTCGCGAGTTCTCTTTAAATTGAAAATTCTTTTGTGCTTGGATGTCGCTTCGAAGCGCTCGTGAAGATTTTAGTCAATATATGGCAGTGAATCTTTTTGATATACCTTATGACTTACACTAAGGAATAATCTCTGTCATGATTGTTTACCTTGTATATGTTCATGTGACTGAATATGATAATGTTTCTCGGACAACACCCCAAAATATGAGAATATATGGATTCCGATGTATTCAACAATAATTATTTCCACCTTCTTTCATTCTGCTCATCCCACTATGTGATATATGTCGGTTGTACAGCCTTCTTCAGAGAACATGTCGCGATTTGATGGAGTGCTACCGTCGTCCATGTGCGACATGTTTTCTGAAGAAGTACATATACTATACCGTGTGACACTGAGTCATGGTATACCCTCCTTTTATCCTTTGTGTTTCTAGCTATATTTCTGAAATTTGAAACATCGAATATTCTCACTAGAGGGCACTATCTCACATTTCAGGAATTTTTTTTCATCTTCTAGTTTTCCTGGAAAAAAAATCAAGTTTCGATTTTCAAATGGAACACCCTGTATTTTATTCCATGATCATCTAGAGATCATTATTACAAATTCAACAGGGTTTGATTGGATTATTTCAAACTATCACGAAGATATTCGCGTTCGAAGTTTTCATAAGCTCAATGAATGTGACAGAGAAAGAAGTATTGATATTGCACCGATTCCGAAGATATTCGCGTTCGTAGTTTTCGTAAGCTCACTGAGTGTGACAGAGAGGGAAGTTTCGATATTGTGCTGTCACACCCATTGAGCTTATGGAAACTTCGAACGTGGATAAATTCGTATTTATTTGAAATAACTCAATCAAACCCGGTATTGTTGAATTTGTTATAATAGTCTCTAACCGATTATGGAATCAAATTCAGGTTGTTACATTTGAAAATCGAAAAATGAAGTCGTTTCCAGGAAAACCAGAAAATAAAAAAAAATCCTGGAATTTGAGGAAGTGCTCTCTAGTGAGCATTCGATCTCCCAAAATTCAGAAGAATAGCTGGAAAATCAAAGGATGAAAGGGAGATATACAATGAGTCTGTGTCACGTGGTATACCTATACATCGGAATATATCATGAGGAAATATTCTCAAAAGTATCTTCCGACTGGTGAGCAATTTTAAGAAGAATATGTCTGGTATTCTGGATATCATTGAAATGGATTCAAAAACATTATACCATCATCCAATGTGATATAGTTGAAGGACTGAGTTATCAGAAAAGAAGCTTTAGTTTCATATTCGAACCACCCTGCCTTTATTATGTATTTTTCTAGTTGTACAACATCAACATCTCAGAGTATATTTGTAGATGAAATATATCTGAGAATTCTAGGAGACATCCGATTTCGTTCGCACCTGTAACTCTTCTCAACTAATCCATAAAATTCCGAGGTTCCGAATTCTTAGAAAGTTTTCACATCTCACACTCAAGAAGTATTCGTGAAGATAAGTATGAATACTTGGGAATTACTGGTTCCTTATCTGTTAATTGGAACGATATTAGTTTTTTTTCCCTTTGGCATTTTCTCACGGTATTGTGATTGTAATCACAGTATCCAAGAATAAGTGTAAAACTCTTGAGACCATTGAAATTAGGTAGCTATTTTTGGAATCAAATCACCAATCTCAACGATGAAATGATAATTAATTCTTTCAAACCTTTCGGTTGTTTTTTTGAACCCACACAAGATCACATAATCTATTAGTCATCATGAAGTAATGGCATATGAAACGAATAGATTTTATGTACAATCAGGATTATTGTTATATATTGATAATTCATCGATGACTAAAAAAATGTGTACATTTTAATGTATCTTCTTTGTTAAATCCTAACAAAACTTTCATTTTGATGGTTGATCATTTCATAATACATGAGTAATATGGATTAATATATTATTATTTTCAATATTATTATCAAATGAAAACAGAAGCAAGCCAGGAGCTTATATTGTGCTTAGAATAACAAAAACGTTATATTGGTTTATTTTGTGTCCTGTTCATGGTATAATTGAGTACCTGAATAATCAAATGTCAACATGAATGGTGTATGACTGAAATATTTGCATAACTATGGAATAGAAACTTTTATAGTTCATTGGCATCTTGAAATATGAAATATTCATGGATTATCGACGAAAACAGTTAACTAGAAGCTTACAACTGGCAATTTCAATATCAGCCTCTACACCACAAAATTACTCTATTTCCATACAGCAGAACACCCCTTAAAATTACTTTTTCCGTTTTTTCCCACTGTCACGAAGTTTGTAAATCTTCGTGAGTTATAAAAGTTTTAATGAAGTTTTATATTTCACAAACCGCATGCTAGAAGGAATAAATAAAAGTTTGTTCCTCGAAAACAAACTATTTATGGAACAGTCTCGAAATTCGCCAAGACAAAATAAAAAATGTGAAAATTTCCCAGGAGAAATGCGAGTCCAATGCATCAGAGCTCGCATGCACATAATCTATTCCTGTACGTAAACTTTCGTGCAAGTCTATTTCAGTTCATCTAGGACCCATATTTCACGGGAATATGCGGCGAGCAAAAAGTTGAAATACCACACCGACCTGAAGTTGATTCCGGAAAGTCTCGGCGATCCAAAAACTTCGTGCGCGCGAAAAGCGAGAACTCACATCGTCACTGACTGTTCCACAGCTACCAGAACCAACCAGCGGCCACCGACAACATCAAAACTCTGAACTTCTATTCCGGAGTTCGCACTTCTCTACTCCCGGAGAGCCTTCCAGCGCCGAACGGATCCGGAATCGGTCGACTTGCTCGCAGAAAACAAAATGTTAGTAATTGTCAGGACGAAGTTATGGTTCTCCTTTTTTGTTCCATGTGCGTTTTCGCCTCTCCAGGAGAATTATTATTAATATTCATAGCTGACACCGCCGAATTTATACTTGCATGATGATTCCGTGTGAGAGATATGCTGATAATGTCCAAATTGTATTGTTTTGCTTGTTAGGCTCGGCATGTGTGAAATATATAATGTTAATACATTTGTGTGCAAGCTATCCATGGGGAATGGACGCTGTTACATATACGTGGATTTAATTGGGAAGCAACTCGCTCTCGCTCAGTTTATTTGTGTGGATGACCACATAAATATCCACTGAAGTGGAAACCAAACAATCTCTCTTCTGAAAAGGAATATTCTCAGATATATTCATGAATACAAAAAAATGGATATATATATATATAGAAATACATTGAGAATTCGCATACTCCATCTGGTGAAAATATTGATTCTTCCTCGGTTTATTCAACAGAAAACAACTACTTTCCTGGTTATATGCCACGACCAATATTGAACTATAATAATAATAATAATAATAATAATACGTCTTTATTCACCAAAGTACATACAAACAAGGATCCAAGTGGAGACACGATATTACAATAATTATTGGTGAAAGGGCGGAGTGTCAGCCTAAGCTGTTTTTAAACTTAACCGTTGTACACAAGATGATAGCACAAAAAAGAAGAAAGAAAAATAAGTGGTACTTAGTAAATAGTGGTTAGTCAGGAATATGGACAGTCGACAATCCATAATGAGTGGCTAAGGTTCGGTATTAGGTAATTTTGGCGTCTAACTGAATTAGGTATAGCTTCAACGTTTTCTTGAAATTATTAATTGTATGTGATCTGAATTCACTGGGGAGTAGGCTATAATGTTTCGGTGCCATTACATCTATTGAACACACGATAAGAATTTGCAAACAAAATCTTCTCAATTATTATATGCATATTTTTATATGGAGGAGAATGCAAATTCTCTATTCCAGAAGAACTATTGAACACACGATAAGAATTTGCAAACAAAATCTTCTCAATTATTATATGCATATTTTTATATGAAGGAGAATGCAAATTCTCTATTCCAGAAGATTTTGTTTCCAAATTCTTATCGTGTGTGTTCAATAGATGTAATTCAATATTCGTCGTGGCATATAGCCAGGGAAGTAGTTGTTTTCTGTTGAATTAACCGAGAAAGAATTAATATTTTCATCAGATGGAGAATACGAATTCTCAATGTATTTCTTCAAATATATATATCCATTTTTTTGTTTTCATAAATATATCTGAGAATATTCCTTTTCGATACTTCCACCCAATCAAGGGGGTCAAACTTGAACGATGGAAATTCGTTATTTTTATAGACCTCAATCGCAGATTCGTGATTAGGTTTTCTCAATTCAGAATTACACAATTGAATTTATGAAAGCATGTAGGTATCTTCCTACCTAAGCTGATATTCTGACCCATTAGAAATCTTATATCGCTGAAATTATTGTCATTTCGTGTTCTTTTGGTATAGGGAATTTTTTATATCACTGCATGAAACAATTGCACCTAATATTCAAAGAGATCGTTCTAATTTCTTTAAATATACAAAACTGTAGGAATTATAACCCCTATGTTATGTCAAAAATCGATACGGAAATTGCGTTATTATGACAAGTGCATTTTTTCAAATATTTTCCAAACACCAAAAATACAAGGACGAATTATGCATTGTCAATTGTGCAGAACATCAGTCATGGATAGTTGGAGGAAGTAATGTCTGCCATTGGTTGAAATATCTACATCAATTTAATTTGTTATTTACATAATGCAATAGAAGGTGATTAGTTGATTCACAAAACTCGTGATTCTGTCCTTCTGCGTTCACATAAAGAGCGGTGGCAAAAATTTAAATAACATACCTACTAGCGATTTCTTTAACAAAACTTTGAACACGACAATTAACTTACTAACTAACTAACCCTATACAAGGTATTTGCAATACCTACATTTCATCATTTCATAAAAAAAGATTTCTTCAGTAGCACTGTAAATTTATTGCCATCACATCACAACATCATACAGAAGTGGAGTAGAAAATACATCCAATATTCTATTTTTCTTGATAATATTTCTTACCACGGTTTCTGAAACTACGTTGTCACTGAAAACATTTTTTTTTTCAAAATCGTAATGCGAATGAGACATTTGATTAAATGTTTTCATTAAAGTATTCGGGACTGTAGCCCAATTCGATGTTCGTCCCCGAAATCTTGTTGTCAAATAACTAATAGGTCTTCTCAATATTCGTCATTCTTTTTTGCAAATTGAAGGAAAGCAAAGGAAATTGTTTTATGAAGATAAATTAATTGACATGAAATTGGAGAACAAAATTTGAATTGCACCTGCAGCATAATGAAACACACTGGTGATGTTTCAATAGCCCTCAATTATTTCTGATTCATTAAGGTACTTATTCCTCATGGAAGGTATATAGTTATTTGATTTTGAATATTTATAATCACCCTTAATTGGACTTCGAAGAAAGTTTCATCACTTAAATGCCCGCTTGCAAAAAGTGCAACCCATTCAGAAGAGCTCATTCGCCATCAAGTAAAACAAAACAAAGAAATACCGTTCATTTAGATATACCTATGAATAGTTACTGAAGTTTCCTTGGCTTTGGTGGAGTCTTTGTTGGGAATCCAAGATGAATGTTCTAGGCAGGCATCCTAGCACTTTGAATATTTGAAGCTTGAGCAGAAGTTGTACGAGGGTAAGGAAAGATGTATACTTTAATATACCGTGAAAAAAGTCTTTGATTGCAAGTGAAACTTCAAGATGTTCACTCAGTTTTGTATTCTTCGGTTTAACTTTCAATATCAAAATTCTACTAATTGACTCGCATGCATAACTATATCCTCGATATAATATGATAAGAAACAATATGGAAAAATATAATGTATGTAGCTTCGCAAGTATGATACACTCTAGCTCTAGTCACCTCAGTTTTGTATGAGATGGTGTTAAAAAATAGTTTGGGTGGCAATATAGTGAAGGCATAGGTTTATCTGTCGAAGACCAAGTGAATTGTACCTATACCACTCATGAGCAAGAAAGCTGTCTGTTGTCTCTGACAAAGTGACAAATAATCATAACCTCAATCCACGTTGTGTGAAATGCATCCACTTATTTCAATTGAAACAATACTAGCAAAAGAGACTTGAACTCAGAATATTGATCCGTATAAATCATACTAGCACATAATGGTCAAAAACATAAATCCTATAACTTCTTAGTCTTCAATAGGATAGTAGGTATATGTTGATATTTCTTTCTCCAGTCCCGTATGATGAAAAACCTTGAGGATCATTAGTGCATTGTTTATCATTGCAGTAAATGGATTTCGATCCAGTAACATGTCTTCAAATTAGAAATTTCTAAGATGATTCCATTAAGGAAGCACTATATGTAGAGTATGCCCTAACCTTACAAGCAATTTACTGATTATAATAACCTTTGACACATTGAGGTCTTCTCAAGTCAAATACCACTTACTGAAAAAGTATCCATTGGATTTACGAGCAAACCCTCACCTATAATTATATATATTCACATATAAGTTAGACTTCAGTGGATTTCTTCTTCTATTTCTAAGGTTTTAATTGAATGTATGAATACCTAATATATTTTTTCTACTCACATAACTAAAATGGCATTTAGCGTACAGATATGTACCACGCTAAATGATCGATTAATCACGGATTGACGATCTGTGATTTATTCATAATATTAAACACGTTACCATGGCAACACGATTTCTTAAACACATTACCATGGCAACACAGTTCATTAAACACAGCTTCAGTAATTTGAGACATGTCTGGCCTGTCAATTGTAGGAACTGTCAACTGTAATTTTCGAATTTTGTATCAGAATTATTCAAACAATTTTCGTTTGTATCAGAATTCTTCATTGAAAATATATGCGTAGACGATAGTGAAATCGAAGAGAATGTTTTGGTATTTGCATATCTCTGAAAAATGAAGCATCCATCTCTGAGAACAATTCATTTATTCTGCGCTAAGCATGACGATGAATGTGAAACAAAAGTTATTAAGCAATGGACTGGACACATATAGAACCAATAGCACTTATACGTGTCTCGCTGGTTGCTTGCAGTTGCATGTATTATGTTCTCAATTCCCATTCCTTTCGAATTATTTTATAGGTTAGCAGGAATAGCAGGTATGTCAATGTAATTTTCGGAGTTCGTAGAAAAATCATAGTATGTAACGCGTTTATAAACTCTTCTAGACACTTGTTTATTAAACACTCGCTCTGCTCTGCTCCGCTCGTGCTTAAAATACTCGCGTAACTAAAAGGACGTATATAACACTTGTTACATAATATATTATTTTCGATATTGAAAAGGAATATTCTCAGATAAATTATGAACATGAAAAAATGGATATATGTGTATATATATAAAGAAATACATTGAGAATTCGCACTCTCTAATCAATTCTTACTCGGTTTATTCAACATAAAACAACTACTTTCCTTATTGAAAAGGAGCATTCTCAGATATATTTATGAACATACAAAAATGGATATATATATATAAAGAAATACATTGAGGATTCGCATTCTCCATGTGATGAAAATACCAATTCTTTCTTGGTTTATTCAACAGAAAACAACTACTTTCCTGGCTATATGCCACGACGAATATTGAATTACATCTATTGAACACACACGATAAGAATTTGAAAACAAAATCTCCTGAAGTAGAGAATTTGCATTCTCCTTCACATAAAGATATGCATATATATAATATAATTCTGAATATTCAACAGAAAACAACTACTTTCCTGGCTATTTGCCACATCGAACATTGAATTATATCTGTTGAATATCCAAAAAGAGAGCATGAAAAATCAAAATCCTCTGAAATGGAGAATTAACATCATC